TAAAAACACCCACATCCCACATCATTTCAAGCCATCAATGTCACAGCCTCTGCTTCCATCTCCAGCGGGACACTCTGTACCTGCTCTGAAATGGATGGATGGATGGATGTGCAGGGCTCTTTACAAGCCATTTCTCTCATCATTTATTGGGCTGAAGGTTTGGGGTGCTGAAAGCCCCTCCTTTCTGTCTCTGACTGAGCAGAACTAGTCCACAGGCGGCCTGCCATGCAAATGGCTGTTTAAACGCAGCCCCCTGTTGTCTGCATTAAAGCTAATTTTTCTTCATAGCTCATCAGAGCGCAGAGACATTATATGTCTGTTAAAGACAGAGTGAGTTTTTCATCTTTATACACCACACGCAATAAGAGCTATTACTGGATTGTTATAAAGTGAAACAGATTGCAATGAAATGAATGCTTTTTTTTCTTCTCATCACAAACATGAAGGGCTCTATCATGCGCCCGGCGCAATAAGGTGCAAGACGTGTTTAGTGCGATTTGTTGCTATTTTCAGACCAGCGTGACCTTAATTTTCACATTTTACGCCTCAGTGTTTAAATAGCAAATCCGTTTGCACCACTTTGTGGACTCATGGGTGTGCGGGTCTATATAGGAGGTGTGTTAAAGCGCATTTTTGGTGCGTTGCTATTTTGAGGAACTAAAATAGATCGTGCATTAGTTATGCGCCTATGCAAGTCCAAAACTCTTACACATTGCTTAATACACACAGGATGTACAGAAAGACACAAATATATTTACATATGAAAACAAATTAAAGAATTTAAATGTTACAAAAATTATAATTTTCTACATAAATATATAAAACAAAACACAGCCTCCATGGCTTCTTCACCTCAGGGTTTTTTTCAGTTTGTTCATGACAATTTGCATTAGCATAATGTTCATTCATTCAATCATTCATTTTCTTGTCGGCTTAGTCCCTTTATTAATCCGGGGTCGCTACAGCGGAATGAACCGCCAACTTATCCAGCAAGTTTTTACGCAGTGGACGCCCTTTCAGCCGCAACCCATCTCTGGGAAACATCCACACACACACACACACACACACACACACACACACACACACACACACACACACACACACACACACACACACACACACACACACACACACACACACACACACACACACAGACACACAGACACACACACACAGACACACACACACTACGGACAATTTAGCCAACCCAATTCACCTGTACCCCATGTCTTTGGACTGTGGGGGAAACCGGAGCACCCGGAGGAAACCCACGCGAAGGCAGGGAGAACATGCAAACTTCACACAGAAACGCCAACTGACCCGAGGTTCGAACCAGCAACCTTCTTGCTGTGAGGCAACAGCACTACCTACTGCACCACTGCCTCGCCCCCTAGCATAATGTTATTGTTATTATTATTTACTATATGCATAATTATGTCTGTTTGATAAAAAACAAGTTTAGATTTGTCCAGCTGTCAGGTTTTGGAAACATCTGCATCACCATGTGGGGTGTAAAAATAGGATGTGTTTGGATATAACTCTTTTGACCACACTTCATTATTTTTGTTTGTCTATTCATTTGCTGGAAATTAGAACTGAATTTAGAAATAGTTTTGAAACAAATCTTTGTGCTTAATACACTAAATATGTAGGCTAAAGGATGTCTTCAGTGGAGTGAGTTTTATTTATTTATTCATTCATTCATTCATTCATTTTCTTGTCGGCTTAGTCCCTTTATTAATCCGGGGTCGCCACAGCGGAATGAACCGCCAACTTATCCAGCAAGTTTTTTTTTTACGCAGCGGATGCCCTTCTAGCCGCAACCCATCTGTGGGAAACATCCACACACACACAGACACACACACTCATACACTACGGACAATTTAGCCTACCCAATTCATGTACCACATGTCTTAGGACTGTGGGGGAAACCGGAGCACCCGGAGGAAACCCACGCGAATGCAGGGAGAACATGCAAACTCCACACAGAAAAGCCAACTGAGCCGAAGATCGAATCAGCGACCCAGCGACCTTCTTGCTGTGAGGCAAACATGCAACCCACTGCGCCACTGTGTCGAATTTATTTATTTATTTATTTATTTATTTATTTATTTATCTATCAATCAATCCACCTATTTATTTATTGCCACATCAGCAACTTATGGTTATTTCATGGCAAAATATCACATGATGCATACAATTTTGTATTACAATAAAAAGTTTTTAGACAAATATATAGGATAAAAATATAATTCACGCATAAATATATTCAAAGTTAAATATCATTTTTCTGTTAAATTTTTGATAAATGATTTAAGAATCTTCCTTGTAGTACTTTTTAAAAAATATCCAAAGTACTCTCCTGTTAAAAACTTTGTCTAATGGTATTCAAACTTCCACATTCCAACAAAATATGTTTGATGGTAAGAGCAGCCTGGCAGTAATTACATTTTGATGGTGCTTCATTATTCAGTAAATACAAATGCGTCAATCTAGATTCAATTCGACATCTAGTATTTTGATCATGCCTGGTCTCAACATTATAAATTGCTGAGTATTTTTGGGTTAATTTAATTTCATTTATTATTTATGCAGTTGTCCCATTGTCTTTGTCATGTTTCATTTATATACAAATTAATTGTAGGTTTCAAGCCGTCAGGAGGAATGAAACATTCTGTCACTTTCAAGCAGATAGCCTGTTTTGCTGCTCATCTGCCAGTTTGTTTCCATGTACATTGTTAGCCCGGATTTCATGTCTAATTATACAATTTAAGTGCAAAGTACTTAAATAATTTAATATTTGGTTCATTACTATAAAAATTTATGTGAATTCTACTTTTTTGAAGACAAAGTTTATTGTATGAATAACTTGAAGTACAATAGACTGATGTTTTAAAAGTTTTCAACTGATCACGCCCTCTGCTCTCAACCTGACTTACTGTTCAGGCAACGCCATTTTCCTGTGGATGCAGTAGCAGGTGATTTCAGACTTCTGGTTAGTATACTGTAAACATTTTATCCAGTTTTTTTTCTCGGCTGTTTGTGAATACAGAAAAACGCTGTTTAAAGTATGTTTCTCTTTAAATGGGCGGCTCCTGTTTAAACACTTGCCGTGTGTATTTAGCATGTGAGCTCGCTGGTTTACCTGCAAGATTTGAGTGGTGGACACGGTGGACTCAATCCCTTTTAAAAACATATGTCTGTCATACACAATATTAACTCTATCTTCACTGCAGCATGACTTTATATTCTATACTGTACATTATTTATGTTAAGAGACAAGACTTTTGTCTAAGCAAAGTCAGCCCTTACTGTCCTAATTAAATGATTCAAATTAAAGCATGATCATTTATTATCTTGGTAAAAATAAGCTTAATCCAGAGTTCTTTGTCTTTAATATGAGATACTTCTTATACCGAATGATCCAACCCAAGCTCATTCTGAAAACGTAGTCCCGCGGACGTTTCTGGAGACAGCGGAATATGTCCCGGGGGGTACGTACGGGAGCGTTTATTTTTTTCAAGCGAACGCTGCGGGGCGGTGTGACACTGTTCCCTTTCGCGCTTGCCTTACCTTCTTGCGGAGGGCTTCCCCGCTGCAACCCGTTTGTCCACTCAGCTCAGCGTGTATGTCGGCAGGCTCGAGATGCGGAGAGGGGTTGACCACGGCGACCGGTTTCGAGTCCGGGGAAGGGCAGCTCCAGCAATCAGGTAAGACGAAAACAGAATCCCAAAAATTAAGTGAACGAGTTTGGTGACAGGGTGGAAACGCGGCGAAATCCGAAAACGCAGTGGAATAAAAAAAAAAAAAAAGTCAGGGCTTTTATTTTTTTGGACGGCTTTTGTGAACTGTTGCTCGGGTTCAGGGAAGCGAGCGGAAGGGCGGGTCGATCGGTAAAATTGGTCGAGTTCGGGGAAGGAGGAGGGCGAGTCGGCCGATTGGCCGGTCGCGCAGTCAATCATCCTGTCAGTCGGACAGCGGCCTCCGGCGGGTTCACATGAGAACAGCGCGGGCGCGAACCGCGCTCGCGAGAGGCGTCCGTGGTGTGAAAAAGCGCGCAACAGCGGCCTCTCGCGGATTCGCGAAAACAAAAACTGCAGCCATACGTACCTGCCGGGACGTATTCCGCGGTCTTCAGAAACGTCCGCGGGACTACATTTCTACGATGAGCCTGGGTTGGAATGATCAACTAGAAGTCATTATTATTAGTATCCGAAAACTCGAATAGGCGACAAGACTTTTGTCAGGTTTTGTATATATATATATATATATATATATATATATATATATATATATATATATATATATATATATATGACAGAGCAAAATTAAAAGTGAAATAAACAGTGCTGTATGGTTTTCAGGGGAGTCTAACAGATTTAAATATAGAAATTGAACATTAAAACGCAAAATAACATGTTCAAAATTGTATAAAATGTTGTATACAACAATCACAAATAGTCTTTAATAATAACTTTGTATTGTAATATACAATAAATAATCCTACGATGTGACTATTGCGGACACACACATTGCGATATCAATGCTCAAACTATACATTGGTCGGGCCTCGTGTATATGCAGCATTCGATTGGAAGATAGAGTGCTAAAACATACAGGAAGAGACAATGTAACAGAGCAAAATACAATAGCACAGAGGAGATCATTTGGGGGGAAAAAAACAAAACAATACATAGACAAACACAACATCTATGAGAAATAAAGCAGCAAACACTCTGGGCAGGAGTTCATCACTGACTCCAATGCAAGGCTCTTACAGTAATAAGTTGGAGTGCATCTCTAGTGTATATAAGCGGACGAGTGAGACTCTGAGCGAGTGTTCAGGGCAGATGAGAAACATTACAGCTTCCCATCCCTCAATCAAAAGAAGCTACACTCTTTAATCAATACAGGAGAGCACTTCACCGAACATAAGAGCAGAGAGACCCATGTGGCCTGCGTGGAAACAAAAATACACTGGGAGAATGAGACTGCGTTACCTTTTTGGCTCTTTGGCTTATATTTGGTCCTTTAGTAAGCAGCTTTTCCATCAAGTACTCTCGATTCTACAACACAGAGGCAGGAGGGGGGGGAAATGCAGAACGTATATATCAGTGACAGACCGCTGCGAGGCACTGGTTAAAGCATTTGAAGTATGGAGGGAGAGTATACTGACGTACCTTAGCCTTTTGGAAAAATTTACATTTCAAAAGCTCGGCTGCAGTGGGCCTGTGGAGATGAGAAGAGCCCCGGTTAAAGCAGTCCAAGCTGACATTTTCCGATAGAGTGCATGTTTCGAGACTCACAGTAAGGGTTTATTTTTTGCTTTGGCGAAGTTGAGAGAGAAGTTCAGGTTTTCATTTTGGCCAGTCAACAATTTAACTGTCCCTAAGGCAACATTTTTTGAACATTCTCAAGGCTGGTTTATAATGTTATATTTATACACTAAGATTATGTATCATAAAAATCAATAACATGCATTACAATGCAACTAATCATTACAGAAATATAAACTATATACACTACTAAACTGTAGAGCATTTTATAATAATTATACACTACTACTATTAATAATAATAATAATAATAATAATAATAATAACAATAACAACAAGAACAACAACAAGTTGATCACTATTATTATTATTATTATACAAAACACCCATGAAGTTATAATAGTGACACTTTATTTAGTATCACTTTATTTTGACGGTCCGTTTGTTGAATTTAAGTTACATTGCATCTACAGTACATGCCAACTGATTCTCATTAGATTATTAGTAGACCGCAATGTTGGGATTAAGGTTAGTGTAAATTGACATGTACTTGCAAAGTTTCTAGTGAAGTAAATGTGTTTAATGAGCAGTATCAACAGATATTAAGCAGCCAGTCTAATAATACTCAAATGAGAATTATTATTATTATTGTTATTATTATTATTATTATTATTATTATTATTATTATTATTATGCGAAAAATGAGAATATACAATTACAGTACATAATAAAGAAAATGGAAAGACAAAAGGAAAACATTTTGTAAAAAGAAACAACAACAAAAAACAAAACAAAAACAAAAACAAATAGAAGTTGTATACATTACACAAGAAAAAGGTTATATATTTTTTTTTTACAAATTTCAGTTGTTTTTAAAGCCTTTTTTGTAAAAGAGTTAGAAACAGTTATAAATCATACTGCATTTCAGTAAGCCAAATATAGAAAACAAAAAGGTTTTTGGTTTGAAATTTAACATTTATGTATTTAAAATTTTGTTAAGAAGATAAGAAGATCAGGAAATTTTTTTTTCTTTTTATGTAAAGCTTCTGTTTTATAATTAACAAAACCAAACAAAACATTTTCCCATAGTAAGAAAAAAATCTTTATACAGTGGGGGAAATAAATATTGAACACGTCACCCTTTCCCTCAGAAAACATATTTCTAAATGTGCTGTTGAAATATTCACCAGATTTTGGTAACAACAATGAAATCCATATATACAACGAAAACAAAACTAGTGAGTTTACAAATGAAGTTCTGTGTAATATAATGACGTGAAGCAGGGAAGAAGTATTGAACACATGAAGAAAGGGAGGTGTAGAAAGGCACCGAAAGCCCAGGCAGTAGCTGAAATCTCTCAGTAGTTCTTCAGCAACCCTCTGCCCTTCATTATTGTAAATGAAATATAGCTGCTGCTTTAGTCCAACATTTGCATTAACAGGAGGATGAAGATGAAACCAAGGTGGACATTTCAGCAAGACAATGATCCAAAACACAGCCAAGAAACTCTCAAATGCATTTACAGAAAAAAATGAATGGCCCTGCAAATCACCTGAATCAGATGAGACCCACAGAACAATCAAGAGTTTGACACTCTGTTGAAGTGTTTGTAAAACTCACACCTGAACAATACACGTGACTTCATTCTCATTCTTCATTCTCCAAAATCTGGCTCAATTTCATGTCAACAGCTCCTTTAGATAAATTATTCCCAGGAAAAAAAACTTGACGTGTTGAATACCCCCCCCCCCTCCCCCCCCCCCAAACTGTACATAAATATTTTCTATCTAAACATAAAAACATTTTCTCAAACACATGCACGCATTTATATATATATATATATATATATATATATATATTTTTTTTTTTTTTTTGATAAATCAATTAAAAAATACCCATTAAATCACTGCTAAGCGCTAATATTTATACACATATATTTTTACATACACACCATCATCATATTTACCATGTATATCAATGTATTTCAGTTCACCACTACAACCCTACTACCCAATGTCCAGATGAGGCCGCTGATACAGACGGTAAACAGACCAGCAGCAATTTACTGTCTCAGGATTGCATCGGTCCATCCGTATCTATGTGACCATAATCAGACCTAATTTGTCTGTGTGGCATTTCTTTTATTGACTGATTTATCTTTACAGAGAACAAATAGAGAGGGAGGACACAAAGGGCAGACGATGAACTGTGATTCAATAACGTACACCACACAATTCCCATCAGAGTGTTTGCCTCCAGTATTACAGGCTTTGTGGAACCGTCTGGTCACTATTCGGCACTCTACAGATACATGAACAAAAGATGATCAATTTGCGAGCAGAAATTACCTCTTTGCGGGGTCCTTCTGAAGGCACAGGGATATAAGTTTTCTAAAAGATTTCCCATACTTCTTAAGCATCTCTTTGTCCTCGACCCCAGTTTCCAGCGAGGGAGGATCGTTCTGCAGCGTGAGCATTAAAACCTGTCAAAATCAGATGTGAAAATGTTATCACATTTATAGAGTTGAGAAAATGCTAATGCTACTTAAAGAAGTCTTCCGAGTCTTTGATTTCATATTTTGATCAAGGCTTTCTCATGCCGTTTCACAACTTTTTGATTTAGTGGCTAATTCGTATGAATATGTATGATCTCATTCATACATTTTAGCAGGATATGCAAATCTCCCAATGACTGTTGAGTTTAGGGGTGGGGTTTGTTGACACACCTTCTTTCAAGAGTTCCCACTTAGATATGCTTAGCATTTATAGTAGGTTTGTCATGCTGTCTCAGGAGAGAACCCTGAGTTTGGAGATATTTGAGCCCAGGGCTCCTGTCCGGTCAATAATATCAGGGGATCCGAAATTAGGTAGGTCTTGATGGCTCCCCCTTTAAAAAAAAAGAGGAAAAGGAGGAAATGGGGTGTAGGGGGGATTCTTACAAAAGGAAGCTAGCCGAAAAATACCGATTCAACCAGCCTAGGCTGGTTTAAGCTGGATTTTTCAGCAGGGAAGATAGAGCAATAAGGAGAAAATAATACATTTATAGTAAGCTAGGATCACTCTGATTGGATTATTACTGATTACAGATGAGTGGCC